AAAGTATCAATTATTATATTAATTTAAACAATTATTATCAATTAAATATTATATTAAATAACATAAATATTTCTTAGTGTCTTAATTGTTTAGATATTTTTTTGTCGATCCACTGGTTCACATTTAAAAATATGTAGCGAAAATAGCAGAAGGGCTTATTGAAAAAGCAGATTCGTTCTCTGCCAGCAGGAGGCGCTTTCTGAACGGCAGAAATATAGTGGTTTCCCCGATAACCGCCGTACACAAAGCTGACTGCAGCGTTCAAGTTTATTCAGTGAAATCACAGCCTTTTGAAGTTTAATCGTCATATTAATCCATATAGCAATTCTTGTCTTTCCGTCCCCAAAGACCTCTTATAATTTAGACTTTTTGTACCATTTAAGAGTTTGCATGGCCTTAAATGTAAACAATTTAACTGAAGACGTTTTAAGGACCCGCGGAAACCCTAATAAGAACATAGTCCAGTGCAAACATTTCTGTCATGCATTTGGCAAAAAGCTTTTTTTGACTATGAATTTTACCTTTGAAATTTGAGGCAAGTGCAACTCTGGCGTCCCCGTTGATTGTGAGCAGTGGTGTGATGGCGATTTAAATAAAATACAGATTTACAAACAATCCAAACATATGGGTATCCCCTTGAACTTGGTAAAAAGATGATCTGTTTGGACTGGAAAATACTGTTTTCATGGTCAGTTTTTCATTTATTATTTGCTAATGTTAATGAATGTTTACATTAGTGCACGTCCTACTACATTGAAATTAATAGAGAAGCGGCTGGAAACTGGCGACCTCTCCTGGTCGGAGATAGTATTAACATCATAAACTGAAAGCAATCTTTATGTACACGGCCCATCCCAGTTGCCCATCCCGGCTGTAGACTTTCCTCTGATGAATCACAGATTCCTGCTTAAAGATCTCAGTGCAATTCCCAGAATACACTGAGGCATCAGTGACATCTATGCCGCTCTCAATCAGGTCCTCCTCATAGAACATCACATTGCCCTTCATCAGCTGTTTGAAAGCCACTTCAGCAAGTTTCACAATCACTTCTC